TATGGTGAATATACCAAGTTAAAAACGAAAAATCATTTTCACGAAATGTTGTCTCTTCCTCATGAGAGTTTAGCATAATTCTTGTCACATTTTTGTCTCAAAAGTCACTTTGAGTAAGCTTTTGTGACGCCTATTTGCGTTGTGTAATTGACGAATATGCATATTGCTTTTGGTTACAAGAGATTAGATCACTGCTATTCTATTCAGTGAAAGGATTGGAAAAAGATTTAATCTCCTTTTGCCTACGCTGCACAACCACACACTCCATCGGTAAAGAGGAGTTGTCTGGGTTGGACTAAAGCATCAAATTGGCGCCTCAATCGTATGAAAATAGAGACGGTCAGTGACTGTTAACTTTCCACATGCCAAGACCTAACCGTCCATCTTCATGCCTACAGGACAGAAGAGTCTGACTTCTTACGCAAGAAATAGAGAAGACGAGCATCTGAGCTCTTCTTCAGATGAGGGTAGTTCGTTTTTATAATTAGGGTGGCCAGTTAACGTTGAAGTGGCATACAATCCATGTGACAATTGGACGGTCAATCGACGCAAGTAAAGACAAGTAAGAGCAAACGACTCGGCCGAATCGGTAAACTCGTTTCCATGGCGGAGGTGAGGCCACCGAGACGATTCGGCCACGTTAACTTTCAACAACCCTGGCAACGGTTGCTGGGGGATGGCGAGAAAATTACGGTTCAACCAACAGTTGTCCGCGCTTAAGTTGCCCCCTTTTCATTAGAGCACAATTCTGTTTCTCGAAGACGTCTGGACCCGCCCAGACTTAACAACAAAAACCGCAAAAAAGAACGAAAATTAGTTGGGCGTCTTGTATGCACATCTACACTCAATGTATTAGCCCACTTTAGCAGGCTTACTCACGAGTTGTCGCATTCACAAGTTCGCCCATGCCTCAGAATCACTCAAGACCCGGTAACTGTCTGTAATTGTCCGCGCGTGTGTGTGAGCACACGCACAAAAGGCATATAGAAAGAATGGGACGCACGCAAGCCGGCACGCAGGTCATCACCATGAGGCTGGGCTTGACGTGAAATGAACGGTTTGTGTACTTGAACCCCAAAACTTTGGCCCAATTGTTTACAAGGCCTCCTAACACCTCTAATTCACACATGTCCCCTCTCACACAAACTCCTCATACCAAACCTTTTAACACAATCGTCTAGTCAATCAGCCTCATCCCACTAGATTTCTCTATCGTAAAAACACACATATACACATATACATACATACATACATACATACATACATACATACATACATACATACATACATACATACATACATGCACAAATGCCATTTATCCAGCCCTCTTTTGATCTCGGCAACCTCACCTCTCAGGTTGGCACGCCTTTTCGAGGATCATGGAGTCAGACGAAAAGGCCTAGTTACTGGGGCATCGAGGGTGAAGAAAAGTCTCGTGGAACGATAAAGCGGACCTAAACACTAAATGGACTGGCGAGCCAGTTGCGAGGGGAAATTGCGAGTGTGCCCGACCGATGGTTGCGCATTTCACGCTTTTTCGTGTCATCGGCAGACAATCCTAACCGGTCTCGCATCGCCTTGGGAATGATGCCGGTTGATGTACGAGTTGAGAGCTGAAAGAGAAAACATTTGCGGAGCCAATAGTAAGAGAAATGTAATGTTATCCCGAGGCTTACTCGTTTTATTGCCTTATCTTGCTGAATTTTAGAATAAGGATTGTAGCATCAAAGCCTTCCTAATCTGAATTAGGTTGCGATTGTATTCAAGAATAACTCGCGCTGAATAGAAAACAGGCACTCTTACTTCATCATACTGGTAAAGTAGTTCAGCGCCA